ACTTGAATATTCTGCTGATGAAGAAAGTGGAGTATAGGTCTGCCTTAGATCAACACTGTCTTCACTCTGAAAATTTAAAGACATGTTTGCACATCAAACACATCAAAATTACACAGAATATTAGTGAAATAATGAGATACGAGAGGAAATAACACATGCGTAGGAGTTGGGAGACTTAAAATCTAGACTAAGCCACTTAAACTTACTTTCCACTAGGGGTTCATGAAGGTTTTCTGTAAATGGCCACAATAAATATTTTAGGGTTTGCTGGCTGGTGAGGTCTCTGTCAAAACTTCTCAACTCTGCTGTTCTAGCACCAAAGCAAACCATAGACAATATGTAAAGGGCATAGCTATGTTCCAATAAAATTTTGTTTACAAAATCAGGCACTCAGCAGATTTGATCAGTATTTGTTGCTTATCCCTGGTATGAAATACCCACAATTACTGCACTTATAATTTTTTTTAACAGATGAGTGTTATGTAGACACTAGCAGTGTTATTTTCAAGAAATCATTTACAAAATTCAGTCTTAATGCCCCTAATCTGTGGGGGAAAAAAAGGTGAATGTACATTTATTCATATGGAATTTGCAAAGAAATTCTACATAAAATTATATTCAGTCAACCTTGTGACAAGAGTACTGTGCTATAAAAACAAGGAAACTGAGGCTACAAGTTATTGAGCTGATAGGTGACAAAACTAAACCCAAACTCAAGGCGTTCTTACTCCTACTGTAGGAACTTTTAAAGAATATCTTTTAATTTTCAGCCTAGTTTCTATTTCTAAGAGATATTATGAAAATGATGATATATAAAATTTTATGTCTTCAGAAATTTAAAAGCTATTACTACAATTAGAAGAAAAAATATAAGCTCATTTTTCTTTTTCTTCTTTCTTCACTCAGATCAAAGTATCAACACTCACTAGGTGTCATTTTTCTTTTTTTGTGAATGGTTCTATAATTTCAGTAAATAAGGTAAAAGTTTGAGTTTTAAGATTTTATTCACTTAAAATACTGCCTCTTAGGGCATCTGAGTGGCTCAGCTGGTTAAACGTCTGACTCTGGATTTTGGCTCAGGTCATGATCTCACAATTGTGGGATCAAGGCCCATGATGGGCTCTGCCCTGAGCTTGGAGCCTAGTTAAGATTCTCTCTCTTTCCCTCTGCCCCTCTCCCTTGCTCACATGCATGCTCTCTCTCTCTCAAAAATAAGCAAATAAACAAATAAAATACTGCCTCTTTTCAAGAGGGATTGATATGCAGTGAAAATAATTTTAAATACTTAAAATAGAATGAATTTAAATAATAAAGATTAAACTTATTTAGATGTATTTTATTCTGAAAATGCTTCTTTAAAGAGGTCTGAAAGTATACATTCACATATTTTAACTCTCCAAATGAAATCTGAGATGTAATAACTATAAATATCTAGACACAGTAGAAATAGTATTTTCTTATAAATACAGAGGAAATATAATCCTAGATAAAAATATTTTCTTTTTTTTTTTAATTTTTTTTTCAACGTTTATTTATTTTTGGGACAGAGAGAGACAGAGCATGAACGGGGGAGGGGCAGAGAGAGAGAGGGAGACACAGAATCGGAAACAGGCTCCAGGCTCTGAGCCATCAGGCCAGAGCCTGACGCGGGGCTCGAACTCACGGACCGCGAGATCGTGACCTGGCTGAAGTCGGAGGCTTAACCGACTGCGCCACCCAGGCGCCCCAAGATAAAAATATTTTCTAATTGCTTTTACAAAATTTACATAGAGAAGACATATTAGATCAAAGTATTCTTAAATTTTTGTTCTTCATAGACATAATTGAAATACAACTCTTTAAACACTAAGTTTCTGGGGCACCTGGGTGGCTCAGTTGGTTAAGCGTCTGACTTTGGCTCGGGTCATGATCTCACGGTTAGTGAGTTCGGGCCCCACGTTGGGCTCTGTGCTGACAGCTTGGAGCCTGGAACCTGCTTTGGATTCTGTGTCTCCCTCTCTCTCTCTGCCCCTCCCCTGCTCACGCTGTTGCTGTCTCTCCCTGTCTCTCTCTCTCTCTCTCAAAAATAAACATTAAAAAAAATTTAAACACTATGCCAACAAAGTATTTACTATACCAATAAAATATGAAAATTAATATCTTCCAATCACCAATCTTTAAAAATGTCAAATACTGGGGCGCCTGGGTGGCGCAGTCGGTTAAGCGTCCGACTTCAGCCAGGTCACGATTTCGCGGTCCGGGAGTTGGAGCCCCGCGTCGGGCTCTGGGCTGATGGCTCAGAGCCTGGAGCCTGTTTCCGATTCTGTGTCTCCCTCTCTCTCTGCCCCTCCCCCGTTAATGCTCTGTCTCTCTCTCTGTCCCAAAAATAAATTAAAAAACGTTGAAAAAAAAATGTCAAATACTTTACAACCATTTGTTTAAATTGCGGTTATGACTGCTATTTGAAAACTACGTTATAACTGTCTTGTATATACATGTATATACATATAATGCTGACTATTCTGAAACTGGGGAGACTGAGGAACCGAAATAATTTTGCTGTGTCACTAAAAACTACTTTCCAGAATTTCTTAGCTAGCAATAACTTTTGCAAAGGCTTTTATCTTTGCAATCATTCACAATTTTATTCCTTTAGTTCTGAAATTTTTATCATAGACCCACCTCAACTCCCTTTTAGTGTGAAACATCCAAAGTGACATAAGTAATTGTTCATCTTTTTGAGATAGTGACTTAAAAGAAGTATTTTCAGATTATGTAATATCAAAAATATCAAACAAGATACACAGTATTTGAAACTAAATGCATTTTAGGAGTATTCTTTCAAGTTTGTTTTACATTTTAAAGTAAGATTTGAGTATTAGCAATAAATCCGTTTACAAGATTGATTTCAATTTCATATTCTAGGATAAAACAAACAGCTAAAATAAAACATAATTGTATTTTAAATATCTGGGAATTAAATTAAAACATTTATGGGAATGTTTTAAACATTTATGGGAATTAAATTCCCAAATGCTTGGGTTTGGCATAATAATCAGTTTAGATAACTGCAAAATGTATCACTTATATACCCTGAATGTACTTGATTGAAATTAAATTCACGTAAATTCTAGTAGCTGTGAAAACAATATGGAGAGCAGTGGAATGCTGGTCTTGGCAGGAAAAAGACCTAGGGTCCATTTAGGCTTTGTCACTTAAGACATGAATCAAGCTGAGCCTCAGCTTCTCAGTCTGTATAGCAGGTGTAATATTATACAAAGTTGTAGGATTAAATAAAATTATTTATTTTTGGCTATTGTTATAATTCAAAGTATAACAATATCAACACTGATGTCCTGGATAAATAATTTCAAATGAAAATGACTTACACTACCCAAAGCCTGGTTTAATATGATTAATAAAACTAAATGTTTTAGATGCAGTAAAAGGTAGCATGTAATCCAAGACCCTGTTAAAGCCAGAAAGCGAAGCAGTAAAGAAAAACTTCACCTTCAAATTAACAAAGGTATGTTTGTGCCGACTTGCACTAAATGTTGCAGCAACAACTATTTTACGGTCTTAGTAAGTATGGATTTTCTTACATTTCTGAGGACAAAATGAAAACAAGAATAATGTAAGATCTTGTTTTCAAAGCAAAGTATGGAACTGCGCAGACTCTGTACTGAAATTATTACCGGCTTTTAAGCAGAAAGAAAGAATGTTCTTGGCTTTCTGGTCCTAAACTTGGTAGCAATTTCAACACCTTATATGAATGGGCTCCGGGAAACGAGTTTGATTTAGGGAAGAAAAAAAAAATCCTCTAACAAAGGATGGACCTGCGATCTGTAGCAATCATAGAAGGACGTGGAGCCGGTCAGCATCACGCTGTTGAACACGTCCGTTAGCCTACCGCTGGGGTCGGCACCGAGGTTCCAGCAGCGATTCGCGCTTCCACGGAACGCTACCTTGGGCTGCACGAAGCGGACAGGGAGGAAGCGGGAGAGGCATCACGCAGTGCAAAGGCAGGACCGAAACGACGGACGGCTGGGGCACCGCCGTTGTTCTCGCCACTCCACTCGGAATCCGCTCTGAGGACACCGATCCCGATCCCGGGGCTGGTGCCTCTGTCCCCGGGCTTCCCTCTCTGCCTTCGGGCCGCCTGCGGGCCGACCGCAAAGGCGTGGCCCCCGACGGCCGTGACAGGCCCACGCCGCCGGCCATTGCCTCAGCGCAGCCGCCGCCCGACGCGGAGGAGATGGCCGTAGCCCCGGCGTCGCGGCCACCGCGGCCCGGCCCGCCCGTCCTATCAGCCTGCGTCGCGCCCCCCAACCCGAGCCCGGCCCCGACCGAAGCGCCCCCCGCCCGCACCGGCGCCTCGACCGGACGGGGCGTCCCGTCGGGGATCCTCCCCGACGACCTGCACTCTCCAGCGCGGCCGCGGACTCCTCAGAGAACCGCGTCTGGGAACGCTCCCGCTCTCCGCCTCTCCTCACCGTAGCCATCCTCCAAGCTCGACCGCCCCCGGACCCTGACCGTCCCCACCGTTTACCTCAAGTCCCTCCCTCAGGCCTGGGGGGCTAGAGGGCGGGCAGGTGACTCCGCCTCTCACCTCCATGGAGCCCCCCAGCCCCTCCTGGACTAGGTACAGCTCCTGGGGTACGGGGGTGAGGGGGGGGCGTTGAAGCCCGGCTCCCTCAGCCCGCACCCCGCCGCTGCCGCCGCTGTCGCCACCGCCCCGGGCGCTGCCTGGAGCCAGTCTGTGGGTGAGGGGACCGGAGTGGGGAGGGAGGGAGGGGCGGGGGGGAGAGGCCGTTACATTGCCTACCCCTGCTCGAGACCCGGCACGCGACCCTGCACCAGCCCGCCCCGCCCCCTCCCTCCTAGGAGGCCCGCCCCTCGCTTCGCACCCTCTCATTGGCCCGCTGCCCAGCCAATAGGCAACCGCCTCCAGGGCATGTTACCCCCCCCCCCCCGCCCCTCCACCCAGACAAAGCCTAGAAGGGGCGGTTAACTGACCTCGCTCTCCCGCAGCTTCTGAATCTTTCCCGCTCAAAGTAAACCTGTTCGGGATTGGCTCTGATTGGCAAGCAACAGCTCTATGATTGGCTACTAGGGCAGCGGAGGGGCGGAGCGTGGAAGGTAAGGAAAGAGAGCAGGCCTACCCCGTGGGAGAAGCGGTGGAGGTGGTCGGAAGATTTGAGAAGTCGCTCAGCAACTGGCTGATAATCTAAACCTATGGCTGCGCACCTTGTGCCAACATTTCATTTTTGGCCCTTGGGCCCTTCCCTAACTCCCAGAATCCTTTGGAACAGCCAAGAGAATAATAGACGTGCCCGTTTACAGAAGGTGAGGAACCCGTATGGAGTTGGGTGTTGTTGGGACACCCCCTTCCCGAGGCTAGAGATGCCCTCTGTTCTAGGACCCAGGCTACAATCGGGGTGAAGGCGTTTTGGTCTTAACGTAACTCCTGAACATATTTCACTCTGACTTGCGCCAGACAGGCCATTTACGTGGGCAGTCTCATTTGGAGATACGATAGTCTCAGAGAAATGCTAAATGTTGTGTGCGTTGAAATATGGAAGATGAGAAACCTAGAGGCTGCGAACACCTTTAAGGTGCTTATATTTAAAATCAAAACCTGAGAAGCGCTCACTAAGGTGAAAGATGTTCTTTTAATTCAGGAACAAACGGAAATAGTACAGGGGGATAAGTTATATTGCGCATATTGTCCCAATAGTTATTTTGGATCTCTACCCAACTTTGATTTAAGAAAGCAGACCAGGAGAGCTGCCTGGGTGTCCATTGAGAGTCGGACTCCATTTCGGCTCAGGTCAGCCCCCAAGAGGGTTCTGTGCTGAGCATGGAGCCTGCTTAAGAATCCCTCTCTCTCTCTCTCTCTGCCCCTCTCCCCCATTTGTGCATTCTCTCTCTCTCTCCCTAAAATATAATAAAAATTATATGTATGGGTGTGTGTGTGTATTCTTGTTTTACTTATTTTGAGATAGAGTGTGTGAGTTGGGAGGGGCAGAGAGAGGAGGAGGGAGAGAGAATCCTGCACTATTAGTGCAGAGCTGGATGTGAGGCTTGAGCCCACAAACCGTGACATCATGACTTTTTTTTTTTTAACGTTTATTTATTTTTAGACAGAGAGAGACAGAGCATGAACAGGGGAGGGGCAGAGAGAGAGAGAGAGGGAGACACAGAATCTGAAACAGGCTCCAGGTTCTGAGCTGTCAGCACAGAGCCCGGCAGGGCTCGAACCCACAGACCGCGAGATCATGACCTGGGCCGAAGTCGGACGCTTAACCGACCGAGCCACCCAGGTGCCCCATCGTGACATCATGACTTGAGCTGAAGTCCACCGCTTCATCAACTGAGCCACCTAGGCATCCCTAATAAAAAAAAAAAATACTAAGAAAGAAAGAAAGAAACAAACAAACAAACAAAAGCAAGCAAGCTGATCAGGTGAAGTGGCTGTACCAATTAAATTTCTTTCCGTACTTCACCCTTAAAGTGGCTGATGTGCAGCTCATTCTCCCCTTTCATTGACAGCATTCTGTACCCCTCTCCCTCCCCTATTGTACCCAAAAGAATTTTGAACAAGTATGAAACTTCTTATATATCTTCATTATTGTAGTAAGATATACATAAAATTTACCATTGTAATCATTTTTTAGTGGACAATTCAGTGGCATTAAGTACATTCCTAGTGTGCAGCCATCACTGCTATCCATTTCCAGATAATTCTCACTATCTCAAACAGAAACTCTGCCCTCGATAAACAATAACTCCCCATTTTCTCTCCCGTCAACCCCTGATAACCTCAATTCTAATTTCTGTCACTTGGATTTTGCCTCTTCTAGGTACCTCACCTAGGTGGAATCATACAGTATTTGTCCCTTTGTGACTCATTCATTAGCAAATGTCAAGGTTCATCAGTGTTGTTGCATGTGTGAGAACTTCATTCCTTTTTATAGCTGAGTAATATTCCACTGTACATGTATACCACATATTGTTCATCCATTTATCAGTTAATGGATAATTGGGATTTTTCTCTTTTTCACTATTGTGAATACCGCTATGAACATTAGTGTATAAGTATCTGATTTCTTGTTTTTTAAATTCTTTTGGGTATTGGGGTGCCTGGGTGGCTCAGTCCATTGAGCATGTGACTCTTGATTTCGGCTCAAGTCATGATCCCCAGTTAGTGAGCTCGAGCCCACGTTGGGCTCTGTGCTGACAGCTCGGAGCGTGTTTGGGGTCCTCTCTCTCCCTCTCTCTCTGCCCCTCCGCCACTCATGCTCACTCTCTCTGTCTCTCTCAAAAATAAATAAATAAACATTAAAAAAAAATACTCAAAGGTTATAGGAAAATTTAACATTCCGTTGAACACAAGTGAATACATTATTAAAAGAACACTTTGGTTATGAAGCAGGGCAAGTATTTAGTATGTAAGTAGTTCTTTATTTCAGCTCTTGTATTTCTTTTTTAGAAGGTCTCATTCTTTCTTAAAAGTTTTTTTTCAATGTTTATTTTTGAGAGAGAGAGAGAGAGACAGGGCATGAGTGGGGGAGGAGCAGAGAGAGAGGGAGACGGAGAATCTGAAACAGGCTCCAGGCTCTGAGCTGTCAGCACAGAGCTCGATAAGGGGCTCGAACTCACCAGCCGTAAGATCATGATCTCAGCCGAATTTGGACACTTAACCGACTAAGCCACACAGGCACCCCTAGAAGGTCTCATTCTTAATGTATGTGTTGGGGGGGATGGATTTCACAATCATACCCAAAGATATATACAAACCTCAGATTAAAATGAGGAGTTAGAAATACCTACATAATTGTTTTATGTATTCTCTGCCTTCATCTGAATTTAGTTTTTTGGGGGAATGGTGACCTTCTTTCTCCATTTATTGAATGTTCCTATATAGGAGCAACCATAAAAGAATTTTATGTCATAAAATTGATTACATTTTGATAACCTTGGTCCATCTCAGAATGATGGTGCCCTCAAGTAAACTCCTTTTTTTTTCCTTGTTATTTTGGGATATTTAAGTGAATATGAACTTATGATTGGATTTTTAAAAGATATTTAAGAACGTTCTTTGATATAACTGGAAACGTTTTAAACCTATTCCATCCTTAAAAATTAGTGCAGAATGCACACTTCATCAAAATATGCAAGGTTGGGTGTTTTTGTTTTATAACTGGAAGACAATGTACAATGTGGTACTCTTCAGTTACATTAGTGAAGCCCTTTTTATACTTTTACACATACTTAAACATTTTGTTTTGTAACAAAAATAATCAGTTTCATTGAAAAATGTCAGTCTGTCCCCTAGAAATGTTTTGAGTGATAAAATAAATAGGATTTCATTATTCTCCCAACTAAAACTTCAAGTTCAAATAACATACATATTTTTGAAAGTTCAAGGTGTATCAGGGGCACAGTCTCAATGCCAAAGAGAGAACTCTGAATTAATTCTTCATAGAAAGCAATCATATAATTGCAAGTCAGTATATAATTAATTATATATCACTGCAGGATTATTATTTATGCTCACATCTGTATTAAATGAATTGCTTTTCCAGTTTCCTAGTGGACTAGTGGTCCAATGACTTAAGTGGACTGCAAATCTACCTCAGTTCAAACCATGCAATTCTTTATAGGCTTCTCTGACTTGAGGGGTTAAATTATCTAAATTATACCTTTGAAAATTAACTGGGCTTCCATATATGGTTTCTCAACCTCAACAGGTTGTGGGAAGAGTGAAAATGTATTAAGGAAACTTCACTCAAAACTGGAGTGGGAAAACATGAAGGGCAAGCTTTCACACATGTACGACCATTCCTCCCAGCTTGCCTAGTCCAGCAGGAGGGAAGATTTTCTCTCAGCCCAACAACAGCAAGCTACCCTCACCTGCAGCCAATGAGAGGCTGTCACCACTTCCAGCTCTCATTTTCCTCCAATGAACTTTTGTTCAAAGCATCCCTCCCAACTTCCTCCTTAGCTCTATGAAGGACCGCTCTCACTTTGTGCTCAGGACTTGCTTGTGGTTTGCCAGAGTTTGCTTGTCCTGAATTGCAGTTTTCCTGCTATTCCTGAAAAAACTCTTTTGTTGGCTGAATGGCTTACCTTTTTCTTTTAAAAAGGATGACAGAAGCCTTACAAAAGGCTCCTTATCAGAGCTATTTGAAACTACTCCCTTTTTTAATTACTCAAATTAGTGTTTTTCTGTTTCTCTAGCATTATATTTATAGCTTCTTCATATATATATATATACATATATATATATATATATATATATATATTGAACCAGAGTTTTCCCTTATAAAAAGTTCTGAATACTTTCTTACTGCCCCTCCAGAACTGAGTTTCTCAGTGTTTGATTGGAACCAGACATTAGAAGAGGTTCATAGAAGAGTGCCACCAGAAAAAGACATCTTTTAAAGCTGTCTTTATAAATTTCCTTTAGGCCTTTAAATTTCTCCTGAATTTAAGGGATCCCCAGACCATATAAGGGTCTTCTGACACAATGAGCCAGAAAACAGCTCCTTAAAAAAAATTAAGATCCAGAGTTTTAATTTAGGCTACAGAGTTCAAGAAGTTATGAAGGGGTCTATTTTTAAAGTTCTAGCAAAGCTTTGTGTGTTGTGATGTACCACGGCAAGTAAGCTTGCTTCCCAATGGTAATTAAGTTAAAAGAACATTTATGGAAAAGAAAAAAAAAAGGGGAACCTGGGTGGCTCAGTCGGTTAAGCGTCCGGCTTCGGCTCAGGTCATGATCTCATGGTCTGTGAGTTCGAGCCCCGTATTCGGCCCTGTGCTGACAGCTCAGAGCCTGGAGTCTGCTTTGGATTCTGTGTTTCCCTCTCTCTCTGCCCCTCCCCTGCTCATGCTCTGTCTCTCTCTGTCTCAAAAATTAAAAAAAAAAAAAAAAAAAGAATATTCATGAAAACTGTGGTTTCCAAATTGGATGATTATATACCCTTAAGGTGGGAAAAAATTCTGTATTTATAGAATCTTTCTGAAAACTCACAGCTCACCTTATTGTTGCAATCTTTAAGCAGCACAAATTTCTATATTATTTCATCTATCTTATATTCTATTTGAGCAGCCTTAAGATACTGTGAGAGCACCTACCTATAGGTTCAGTCTGAAAACTGGGTTGTTTTAGAAATCATTGTGTTAAATAATGAGACTGCATCTTTTTCAAGTTGTCAGAGCCTGGAGATAGCTGTTCCACTGCAAGAGATTTTAAAACCTGGTTTAGGTTCTGAGCTGGCCCCTGATCAGGCAGGGTTCTCCAGGCTGTCCATCCCTAGGGTACCTACAAAGTTGAAACCTGGAAAAGCTACTTCCTTGACTCTTGGAGAGCAGAGTATGGGAGGTTTACCCAAGGTCTTTACCTCTGATCTGGAGTCCTACTGCTTGTCTGGCCTGATGATCTGGTGCTTGCTCCCTCCTGCTCTTTTTTTTTTTTTTTTTTTTTTATAATACACTTAATTTTTAGATGAGTTTAGGCTCACAACAACACAATGGAAAGTACAGAGAGTTCTCATATACTCCCTGCCCCACACATGCACAACCTTCCCCATTATCAGTATTCAGCACCAGAGGGGTACATTTGTTACAGTTGATGAATTGACACATCACTATCAGTCAAAATCCATAGTTTACATAAGGGTTCATTTTTAGTGTTGTACATTCTGTGGGTTTTGACAAATGTATGATAATGTGTATCTACCATAATAGTATCATACAGAAAAATTTCACTGCCCTAAAAATCCTCTGTGCTCCACTTACTCATCCATCCCTTCCTCCTAACCCCTCGTGACCACTGATGTTTTTCCTGTCTTCATATTTTGCCTTTTTCAGAATGTCATATACTTAGAATTATTCAATATGTAGCCTTTTTAGATTGGCTTCTTTCTCTTAGTAATATGCATGTAAGTTTCCTCCATGTCTTTTCGTGGCTTGATAGCTCATTTCTTTTTAGCCCTGCATAAATATTTCATGTCTGGATGTAGCACAATTTATACATTCACCTACTTAAGGACATTTTAGTTGCTTCTAAGTTCTGGCAATTGCGAATAAAGCTGCTGTAAACACCCATGTGCTGTTTTTCGTGTACACATGTCTTCAACACATTTGAATAAATATCAAGGAGCATGATTGCTGGATTATACAGCAAAAGTATGTTTTGTTTTGTAAGAAACAACCAAACTGTCTTCCAAAGTGGCTGTGCCATTTTGCATTCCCACCAGCAATGAACAGGAGTTCCTGTTGCTCCATTATCCTCACCAGCATTTGGTGTTTGTTGGTGTTTTTAGTTTTGGCCATTCTAATAGGTATGTAATGATATCTCATTGTTTTACATTTGTTTACCTCTTGCTTGTACATATTCCTGGCTCCTAATTGTTTCTCTTCTTTTTCCTACTGCTCAGCTTCTAGACAAGTAGTTCTCACATCTGGTCCCCAGATCAACACCACCACCACCTAGGAACTTGTTAAAAATGAAGTTTGGGGTCTTGCTCAAACCTACTGAATGAAAACTCTGTATTTTAACAGCCCTCCAAGTGATTCTGAGGTAAGCTAAAATTTGAAGACACTGTTCTAGACCTGCACTGTTCAACATGATAACCTCCAAAAATGTAGTTATTGAGCTCTTGGGATATGACTGGAATGAATTATGATGTCCTCTAAGTGTATAATGCACCCCAGATTTTGAAAACTTAGTATGAAAAAAGAAAAAGCAAGATACCTTATTGGTAATTTTTATATCAACAACATTGAAATTAAAATACTTTGGATATATTGGGTGAAATAAAATACATTATTAAAATTAATTTCCCCTGCTTTTTTTTTTTTTTTTTGGTTTTGACAGAGGGTTACTAGAAAATTTTGAGTTATATTTGTAGCTCTCATTGTATTTCTGTTAGCATTACTCTAGACTGTGAGTCAGTGAACTACAACCTGTGGGCTACATCTGGCCTACTGCCTGTTTTTATATGGCCCATGAGTTAAGAATGGTTTTAAATTTTTAAACAATTGAAAGTAAATTTTCAAGAATTATCACAAAAGAATGATATTCCATGACATGTGAAAATTTTATGAAATTTAAGTTTTATTGTCCATAAATAAAGTTTTATCGGACTGTGGGCACACTCATTTATTTTTGTATTGTCTATGGTTGCTGTTCCTCTATAGTGGCAGAAAACTAGCTGTGGCAAGAGCCCTATGGCCTACAAGTCTAAAGTATTTACTATCTGGTGCTTTGTAGAAAATATTTGCTAAGCTCTGTTCTAGACTGTCAGCTTCCACATGCTGTCTAGGAGAGGACCCTGCTTTTAACTTGCCCCTATTCTTTGTTCCCAACCTTTGCTTACCTTTTAGGCCCAACTCCTTGACCCTTACAACCCGAATCTCAGTGGTATTTTGGGGCTGCAAGATTTGATCTATGCATTTTTCAGGCTACAAACAGGTAGACCAGTAATGTTCTTGCCTTCCAGAACTGCACAAGGAACTATGGACCCAGCAAAAGGAACAGAGAGATGCTCAGTAGCTTCTTTCTCCAAACGCGGGGCCTTCCTTCTTAAGGACGAGAGAACATCAGATTGATAGCTCCACCAAACTGAGAGGTAAGCCTATGATTTAGGGCTGGCCCCTTTCTTTAATAACTCAGCAACACCTCTTGAATTAAAACTCTCACTCTCTCTGTGCAGCTTATGCCTACTCTTAGCCAGTGTATTTGGCTTCTGCAGCACCTTGTTCTGCCAGATATATTGTGGAAATTATTATGATGGTTTTTTCCACTCCAGTGAAGCAGACGTCTGGATCCCTTTGTGAGCCTCTTGATCCTTATTCCTTACCACCCCCACCAATATGCAACCAAAGTCTTGTTGGCTCAATGAATCTATATGGTCTCATTTTATAGAATCCCCAAAGAAGAGAAATATGGCTGTGTTTTCCAGAATGTTAATTGATAACAGTTCTTGGCAACAGTACTCTTCCTGGCTTTCCCTCTTTAACCTACTCCTTCCACCCATAATAATAGCATCATTCCTGAGTAGATTGGCACCAGTCTGGAGTTTCTCTCTCTCTCTCTCTCTCTCTCTGTCTCTCTCTCTCTTTCTCACCTCTCTCTCTCCCTCTCTCTTTCTGTCTCTCCTCTCTTCCCCCAGCCCCACCCATAGCCCTTCATTCCTTTTTTCCTTGCTCTACTGATTATACCTGGACTATTTAACTTTCTGATATGAGCTGGTTTGTTGCACACTCCCTGAACATTGTAATGATGTGAATATTAATAATTAGAAGAGGCCTCACTGAGAGGTGTTATTCCCGATTTCAACCATACTTCATTGTCAAAGTTAAGGAGAGGTCTTGCATCTCTGTTCACTTAAGAACTGTCTCCTCTAGTCAGTTATCTTTAGATTCTGTAGTTGAGTTGAGTTTAGACTCTGGGCTGCGAGTGGGAAGAGGCAGGAACTGTTTCACGTAGGTAAACCCTACACAAATCTGGCTTTTCCTGTCTAGCTCATCTTAAATATGGGGCATCAAGAGGGAAATCTATCAGGGGGTTTCTGTTGGAAAGTAAGCTGGGGGATCAAGTGGCCTAGTGTTTTATTCCAGCTTTTCTCCAGATGATCTCCAGATTTCTGGCCTTTACCTTCTCTGGGCTTCAATTTCCTCATCTGTAAAATAAAGGGTGTGATAAATCACCCTGTAACATTCCTTCCAACTCTAAATTGTTCTGGTTCAAAATGTTGAAAATTTCAAGTTAGTATAACCATAGAATTAAAGTTGTTTTTTTTTTAAACCTAGCACTAAATTAAAGTGCTCTTGGGGATCATTTGACCCAATCCTTAGGCGTCCAGATGAGGCTCAGAGAAGCACAAATCACAGAGCTGACTCTAGAACTCCCGTTTCCTTCAAAGGATTGCCTCTTTGAGAAAGGGACATTAACAAGATCACAGGCACTTTGTTTTCAACTCTTGGTCTGTAGTAAAGCATCATCTTATAATTATCTACTCATGTAATCATCATCATAATCATTGATCACTGAGAGAATTTGCTACTACCCAGGATAGTGCTGTTGTCTTTTGGAAATAATCAGTAAAATGTGGGGCAGGTGGGACCACCTTAGTACTGTTTTTTTAAAGAGATAAAATTTAAGTTTTTTGAAACCAAAGTTGGTGAATATTTTGTTTGCAGAAACTTTCATATTTTACCTAGATGTTTTGGCATCATGTAGATCAGATTCCCTGACTAGTAAGGTATTTCCTCATAAATTTAGAAGCAACCATCCTGGGGTAGCCCCAGTTTCTTTGGTAGGAAGGAGAATATAATATACAATAATGTTTTTTTTCCCTGTATATATATATATATATATATATATATATATATATATATATGTATGCTTTATAAGTAGCATATTCTCCAGGAAAATAAAAAGTGGCTTCTTAACATACAAATTCCAGGGACCTTTGGAATAAGACACCAGTTTTGTATGTGTGGCAATAGCCATACAAATTTTGGTAATCAAACAAATTTAGGGAACTATGTTCCGGGCCAATGATCTTATTCTGATCTACCACTATGATTCTTTTTGTGTCATAAGCAACCTGACTGGCTCCAAACATCAGTTGCATAGTTTTGTTTTGTTTTGTTTTGTTTTTAATCTCTGCCAGTGGCTCTCACACTTTAGCCTACCTCAGAATTTCCTAGAGGACATACTAAGAAACAAAATGATGCAACCCCCAGCGTCTCTGATTAAATAGATCTGGGGTGTGGTCCCATAATTTGCATATTTAAACAAGTCCAGGGGTGATGCTGATGCCTCTGGTCTCAGGACTATACTTTGAGAACTACTGTTCTACCTATGCCTTTTGGCCAAGAGCTTGCAGGTGAATACTGATTGGTGAATTCAGTGCACAATGCAGGTGATGGTTAGTTTGGCTGGTGTTATGTTTGGTCCCTGTAAGCCAGACCAAGAACAACTTTACTATCCTGTTATCACATTAAATGCTAACTCAGCTGAGATCAGGGGTTCCAAGAGCTTTTGACAGGGAAACTTGAGATTACCTGGGCCATCCCCTGTCTTTGTGCAGAAAATATATTATTTCCCTCCTACTCCAAGACTCAGAGAGGTGATTTACCTTGTCCATGATTACATAGCTGTTAACTGCGGTACCAACACCAGAACCTTGCCCTCCAGCCTCCCCAAGCTTTTCATGACAATGAAATTAACATTGATAGCGACTGCTTCCCTTTTGCTTTCAGAACAATCTTCTCAGCAAATGTCTACCTGATTTCAAATGGACATTTTTCCAGTGGTCATTTGGCCGAAAGGATTAGAACTTTCCATTAATGTCATTGCTCTTCAACCACATGTGTCCTCATAATGCCAGCCAGCTATTTTTCAGAATGTTCAAAGTGTAAGATGAGAGAGTGTGGACATAGCCATGCAAATTTATCTATACTTTTAGAAAACAGGCATATGTTTCACTAAATATTATCATCATATTGAAAAGACAAACTGTTAGGTAATTTACTCCCTCTGGTCTGAATATGAAAAGCTAGGGAATATCCTGATGGAACTTGCTCATCTGGTAGTACAGGCAATAAAGATTTTGATCCTATAGATTCCAACTTCAATTATGCAGCAACATTGTTGGCTGGAAATGAAAGACCAGACTTCTTAGCCTCCTGTCTATCCCTAGCATTTCTTCTACCTTCTGCATCTTAAAGAGTGAGACGCCTGGCTTCCTGCAGCCCTTCCAATTAAGAGGGATAGATCATGAAATATTCTCTCCTCACAGCAGGTCAGTCATGGTAACTACATAACCAGAAATGAACGATTTCGTAACTGTGATGTTGATAAATTTTTAAGCAGCTCTCTCTGCAACTCTCCACTCCTGAGAAGAGATGGCATAGCTTTGAGTCTGAACAGCGTTGGGGGGAAGAGGGATGGAAAGCAGAACTAAAGACTTCATATGTGGGGACAGTATGGTTAAGAGTGGAATCTCCTACCCGTTTTTTTGTCTTTGTTTTTAGATTTTGGAGATCATGCTTTTTTATTTTATTTTATTTTATTTTATTTTATTTTATTTTATTTTATTTTTATTTTATTTTATTACTTTTTTTAATGTTTATTTATTATTGAGACACAGAGCATGAGCAGGGGAGGGGTAGAGAGGGGGGAGACACAGAATCTGAAGTAGGCTCCAGGCTCTGAGCTGTCAGCACAGAGCCTGACACTGGGCTCGAACTCAAAACTGCAAGGTCATGACCTGAGCCAAAGTCGGTTGCCTAACCAACTGAGCCACCCAGGTGCCCCATACTTTTTATTTTATTATTTTTTTCCCAGCAAGTTCTCAAAAAATCAGTGAACAATTCTGAGTCCAGAATTGTTTCTCTCCATGGAAATCTTCAGTAAAAGGTGAAAGATTTTATGCAATCTGAAGAGAAACCAGAGTATGGAGATCATACTTTTTAAAAAAATCTTTTATGTTTATTTATATTTTTGAGAGAGAGAGAGAGACAAAGTGCAAGCAGGGGATGGGGAGAGAGAGAAGGAGACACAGAATCTGAAGCAGGCTCCAGGCTGTGAGCTGTCACCACAGAGCCCAACATGGGGCTCGAACTCACAAGCCATAAGATCATGACCTGAGCTAAAGTCAGCCACTCAACTGACTGAGCCACCCAGGAGCCCTTGGAGGGCCTACTTTCTAACGCAGTATGAACCAGTGGTGAGAACCTTAACGCTAATGCTCACAAGAGCCATTGGAAAGCGCTAAGCCCTGAGTATGACTCTGAAACAATTTTTCCTATAAATGATTGGGGCTTCTCCCCCTTCCCCCCATTAAATGTATGTGCATATAATATGCAAAAAAAACCTATTTGACTTCAGAAACCTAGTTAGATTTACTAGAACACAAATCACAATCTCTTGAACTGAAAATCAAAGTCAGTTATTTGGTATTATGTGGACTAGACTGGTATTGAAATTTTCCACTTTTTTTTTTCTTTTTAAGGAGAACATTCTCTTTTCTCTTCCCCATGGTTTTACTCTCCTTCATTGTCCCTGAAACTTTTCCACTTTTTAATGGGTTGTGTTGATATTTTATTGACGTACCTACCTAGGTTTATTTTTGTGAGTGCAGTAAATTCTACCAATCATGGAGCTGTTTCGGTGATTGTACAGATAAAATCCCTGAATAAACAGTACTTGGAGGGAACTTGTGTGACCTGGTTTTGTCTGGTCATCTGTATGGTTATTGCATTTTTTGTGATTTAGGAGAAAGGAGGATTCCATCTGATAAACTCTGGTGGGGAACTATGATCTGTACAAGTCAGAGATGCTACATGATCTTCAAGGGCTAAGGGGATTGTGGTGATGTGGTTTACAGGTCCCCTCACTGGATATTAAGAGTAAACCCTGCCTGGCGAGTTCAGCTGTTTCTGTTTACCCAGTACTCCCAGCCTCACACACAAACCCCCCCATCTTGATTATTTATTTCTTGTTGTTGGAGCTTTCTTTTTGGGCTTTAGGAAAATGTCATACGTTGAGGGAAGGGGTGTTGCATGGGTCATGACTTTGACATATTCTTTGGCCAGTGCACAATCAGAAAACACTTTC